CAATACCGGCCTTGTTGGTGAGGGCTCAGCCACGGGGGGGGGGGGGGTTGAGAGAGAGAGAGAGGAGATGGGAGAGGGAGGGGGAGTCACATACCTGTAGAGTCCTGCTTGAGATGAAGGAAACCTTTGAGCTCTGAGATTCAGACACCACAGCTCAGCCTTCTCGCACACACACTTATCGTGGTACTGTTCCTCTTTAATGACATGTCTTTTGACACGTCAGATGAATGTCTGAGTTATTGAAAAGTATCTCATTTATGCACACACACACACACACAGGATTGTCCACAGAGGGGACGACAGAAAAGTGTAACGAGAGACATAACTTCATCTACTCCCTCATTGTATCTGTCAAACTCTTCTTTAGATTTACCCTCTACATAAAAGTTAGCGTTAGTCTCTCACAGCATGGTGTCAGATCAGAGGGATATAACATCTGGGTCAGGTGTGGGAATGTATGCCTTTCCCAAAATCCATGAGAATGGTGTAAAATTTGAGCCTCACTAAAATGATCCTATGTTCTACATATCAAGAACGGCTGAACATTTGGGAACAAAACCATGTTGTAGTGTAATTCTTGGGTTGACAGAATTGTCGTGTATATAGAATATTGTTTGGACTTTGGAGATTACAAAAAGTCTATAAATATAACTGAAGTTGTTTAATCGAGGTGGATAAAAAAATGAGAAATGTATTGGTTAATTCACCTAAATTACTAACAAAACAAAGTGTATTACTTTTAGTGGTATCTTGCCATGCAGATAGTTTTATTTGCTTATGTTTTGAGATTTCTGCCTCCACCTCGGTACAGGAGAAGTGACTGGAAATGGTTTTGTCCTGCTCGCAGCATTGAAAATCGACATTTGACAAAATTCAGCAGCAACGACTCTGTCCGTAAAAAAAGCCCTTGGTCCTCTGGATAATCCACTGAACATTATCTCAGTTGTCATAGGGACTTTCTTTTCAATTGAAAGTAGTTTTCTTTTCAATCTATTCACTGACACTGAGACCACAAGTTGATTTAATGAAGTAATTATCAAATGTTGTTGTCAATTGTATCAACTAATTAATTGTAAGCAAACATTCTCTGTATTTATTTGTACTTAATACTTTTCCATTCCATTTTTCCGTCATTGTAAATTGAGTATCTTTGGATTTTGGCTTAACAAAACAAGCAAAAACGTGATTGACAAATTAATTGATAATGAAAATAATTATTGTTTGCAGCCCCGCTGTTCACCACATGATCTGTAAGATATCACGGGTAATGACCATGCAAATTCTAGAATTCTTCGCCCTGAGGCGGAGGCAGAATAATTTGTAAAGAAAGCAAAAAGTATTATGTATGACTCTGTGCCAACAGATGTAAGTGAGAAAATGTGTTGGTTTTTTTTGTGTGAATTTGGTCAAATAAGTATCATTGCTCACACGCTCGAATGCATTTAAAACTTCACACTTACACTCATAGAGCAAATGCAAAACACACAAATGCCGAAGAGGCATGTGTGTCTTTGTATGAACAGCTTCTTACAGCGCACACACACACACAAAAGGCTGGCATAGAACACATAGAAGACGAGTGCCAAAGCAGGAAAAGGAAAGCGAGGACGACAGCTCAGCCTTTGAGTATCATAGTACATGTAGCACATACTATAGTACTCAAACAACCACCACACACATGTAGCAAAGGAGCATGTCATCGGTTGTCTGTTCTGGTCTGCCAGGGTCTCACTACTGGGCTGGAGATCGGGCTGAGTCAGCTAGATGTACCACACACACCAACGCACGGACACGCACATGCACAAACACCCCGTGACTGGGCTTCCTGGAAAACAATCAAGAGAACGAGGGTCCAGAGGATTGGCGGGAGGTAGGGGCGCAAACAGAGAGAGGAGAGGAATGTCGGATTTGAATGACAGATGAGAGAGGAGGGAGATGGATAGAAGGTTTGTATAGAGAAAAACATATTTAACAGAATTCCTACATCACGGGAAACGGAGAGGTGGAAAGATGGAGAGACAAAGAGTTAAAGAGCAAACATTCCGACAAAGTTGCTGCTTGGCCCGACTCATCCAAGTATGGTCCAACCCGGAATACCACACACACACACACACACACAGCCGCCTACGCTTTGCCCTTGATGCCCTTGCTCTGTGTGTGTGTGTGTGCGTGTGTGTGTGTGTGCGTGCGTGTGTGTGTGTGTGTGTGTGTGTGTGTGTGTGTGTGTGTGTGGGGCTATTGCCCCTGTGCCAGTAAGGCAGCAGGCTGGACTTGGCGAGCAGAGTGTCCATTCCCCAGTAAAGCCAGCTCTACAGGCCCTTTTGCTCAGAACTGAGCTGCTCGCTGAGCAGAAACAGATGTGGGGCCCGTCCCCTCTGTTCCTCCATCTTGGCTCTGCATCATCACCACCGCAGATCCTGTCTCTCACTGGGAGAAACTGGGATTTCAGCAGTAAAAGATGGCCCAGCACCCTCAGCTCCTCCTTTGGTTCTACGTCATTGCCAAGTGCTGTGAATTCAGGGGGAAACCAGATGTGCGCAGTGAATGCTGTGTCCACTGCATTGACTTCTTTTGAATGGGATATGAGTAAAATGAGAGGAAGGGTCACAGATATTATAGTGGTTGGGGTATGAGAACTGTGGAAACAAATGTCTTTTATGTAGAGGGACATTTTTAAATTAAGTTTAAAATCTTTTCTTTCTTTTTCCTGAAATGCGCTTTGAGTCTCTCAGGAATTCCTTAAATTTCTTTTTCAGTTGCACAATTTTCTTAGCAACAAAAATAAGGGAAAACATTTCAATAATCCAAACCAAAGAAATTTCTAAAGATATTTGTTCATTGCCAAACATAATAAAATGTGCCACGATGGATGTTTTGAAAGGAAACCCCTGCTGGAATTTAATATTCTGTCAATTCTTCGCACATTCTTTGTGGTAGTCAGAGACACTCCTATACAATTTCTTTGTAATATTTGTTCTTCTTTTTCTCTACCCAAATGCAGTTTGGTGTCCTTTTCAAGATTTTTGTAAATTGTAATAACCATGTTATAAAACTACCAACTACAATTCCAACAAGGTTTATTAACGTAAACAAGAACGGATTCATCAGAGAAACCTTGCTCAGACTGTTAGAAGTTACTGAATAGAGAGGCACCATGAGGTAAGTGTACTGACTCGCTGACATTAGTCACACAGCAATATCCATCTGTTGATCGTTTTGATCTGAGCAAGGCTGTATTTCTTTGTTTATGAACTGAACATTCAATTTGTAATGGAATAATGTGCTATTTCTAATTTTGTAGTGGAATAATGTGCTTAAACATATTCCATTGAAGTTAGAATTAATAAAACATCAGGTGAACATTAACAAGAAATTGTAAGAGTGCAAATCCATAACTGTATTATGCGGACAACACCAGTTCACCTCTTGTATCAGTTTAGTGGGTTTTGCTCGTGTAATGTGCTATTTTCTTTTTGTTGCATTTGTTTTTACCATTAACTAAGTTGCAGTGCCAACGATCTGACGGTTTTAGGACAAAGCTGGTGGTGGGGGAAAAAAAAAAAAAGGCTTATAAAAGCACAATGTGCCGTAATGTTTAAGTGATGTCATTGTCTTTAGCTCGAGTGGTCTTTGACCGAGTCGTGACTCAGCCCTTATATTAACGTCAAGCTCCTCTTCCAGCTCCTCCTGCTGTTACTGTAGTAACAGGACTGGAACTGTGTGAAGTGAGTCACACTCCCACCCTTCGCTTACTGGACTGTTTTGATGTGGATCGCCATGGTGATAATCTCAAACCCCCACCCCTACAAACTACAACCCCTTCTCACAAACCCAAATACGGCCATGTTTGTAGGGCAAGATGGAGGGGGCAGTGTGGGGTGGAAGACTAGAAGAGGGAATGAAAGAAAGAGATAAGACAAGGAAATGGGAAAGAAGAGAAACGATGGCCAGAAATTGGGGAATGAAAGAGTCCAAAGACAGGGGGGGGGGGATGTACAGAAAACAGCGAGAACAAGGGATGGCTTTAACAGCAGAGGAATGTCTTTCCCGCTGATATCATGTAACAGGACTAGTGGGATTAGAAGGGGAGGTTGTTCTCGCCAATCACAATGAGTACACCAGACGTTACCCCATCCAGCTGAATGAACCTTGTGATATAAGTGGCAAACTCGCCATCTAACTACTGCACCTGACCGTTCTGCATTAACCAGAACTAGGTTACGTAATATTTTAAGTCCTTTCAACTGCTTCAGCAGGGTAAAAGTTCGACTTAAGGGGATTGCTCGGATTACTTGAAGTGGGGTTGTAATGGGGTACTTAACCATAGTCTGTGTATTACCTACAGCAACCGACACCTGCCCTATTACCTGGCTGGGCTTTGTATGGTGTTAGGAGCTGCACGACTTTACACAGCTAAAGGTCTTTGAGTTGAAGGCAGGTGCCTGAAGCTACAATAGATTTATTGACGGTTCACTTTCTGCATGTTCGTCAAAGTCGGACTAAACAACTGCAGTTTTTTAAA